GATTTTTTTATTTTGAAGGCGGGAAAATAGCCGTGGTGCACCATGCACTAGTGCGCCATTGCTAATCTATTTATTTTTTTGCATTTTTTTGAATTTTTTTGCTTCCAGATCGTAAAAGCATCGTAACGTTTTTTCTGTTAGGTTTTTGAGGATTCTAGAAAATCGATAACGGGCGTAGCCAGTCAAATTCGGATATAACTTTTCGAGTAGATGATTTTTCACATAAAAACCTTTTTCATCGAAGGTCGTATGCAAAAGTTACGGCCATTTTACCGAAACAAGGCGGCCTTTTGCAAAAAAATTCAAAATTCATGCTTGTTAATTTTCCTAACAACTAGAACACATAACACATGGACATCTATTTTTTTGAATTCCTTTTGATTTTTTTATCATTTTCTTTTATTTTTTAAAAAACCTAAAAGGCGATCAGGGGATGTGTTTGCGTGTGTGAGACGTTAGTAATGGCGCACCCTCCCTGGTGTGCCATTGCTAACCCTAGCAATGGCGCACCAGGGAGGGTGCGCCATTACTAACCTCTCTCACACACACGCAGGCACACCCTCACCAGACATAGCAATGGCGCACCACGCCTAGGTGCGACACTGCTATATGTAGCAGTGTCGCACCTAGGCGTAGTGCGCCATTGCTATGTCTGATAAGGGGGGAGGGGGATAGACCCAAAAATTGGCAATGACGCACTGCTTATGTGATGCGCCATTAGTAAAAACATAGCAAAAGCACACCTGATTTTGATGCGTCACTGCTATATAGCAGTGGCGCACTACCGTCATGATGCGCCATTAGTAGAGATATTGAGGATAAGCTTTTTTTTAGTAGTGGCCGGAGCAATGCATTGGAAGGGCCGAGGGGGCTCCGGCCGGCCGGGCCATCGTGGGGCTCGTCCCACATGGACGTGCATGGCTCAACAGCTGGACGAACACGCACCCCGTTCACTCCTGTCGGGTTCCCAGGCCACCTTTCTCGTCATCTTCGGCAAGGCTTTGCTTGCTCTTCATCCCTTTCTGACCGACGCTATGCGCTTCCTGCATGCATGCACATGCAAGATGGGTGCACTACGTACAGATAACACAGTACTCCGTATGCATGCGTACCTGCTACGGCAAGGATCGAGCACTGCTGTACCACTTGGATCCATTCGAGCACCGTATCCGACTCTCCATCGACGAGATCTTGCGCGCATGATCGCCTCGGAAGACTGTGTCTCCATGGTGCATTCGACTATTCGAGCACCATATCTGACACGAGATCTTGCGCGCATGATCGCCACGGAACCCGCGCATCTCTGTATCGGTCACACAGAGTGCCCGCATGCCATGTCACGTTCTCCAAACAAGCCCACCACGTGAACCGCGTAATGGACAGAGCACCATCGTCCACAGATCCAACTCACCGTTTCGGACACCTTCTGTGCGCCCGTGACTACGGACGCCCAGCCAAGCCCCGACAATGCAACCTATACACCTATACATAGGAGTAGGCTGGTGTAGGTCGGTAAGTGTGTCACTGTCTCACTGGATACCTTCCTCTGTCGCTTTTGCCTTTGTTTTACTCTGTGGGCGATGTGGGGGCAAAATTTCATGTTTTGACTCTTCTGATCTCTATTCGAGATCTTACTCTAGTTTGAAAAAAATTCGACATCTGACCCTTTTGCTATCATCAGAGTTTATGATGGTAGGATATAACAGCCTACCATCAGAGACCTTGGCGATAGGAAACTTCCCTACCGCCAAACAGAATGGCGGTAGCATGTACAACCTTACCGCCAAGGCGCTCGGCGGTAGGTACAAACACGCACTGTGTTCAATACTTAGCAAATTTTTACGGTAGAGCATGCAACCCTACCGCCAGGGATCTTGGCGGTAGACGGTTATACCCTACAGACATGGACCCTGACGGTAGCAAAAGGGTCAGATGTCGAAAAAAATTCCAACTATGATCAAATCTCAAATAGGAATCGAAAAGGTTTAAAACACGAAATTTTGCCCGATGTTGGCGTACCGACGGGAGAGGAGATAGGCAGCCGGGACCACCTGGCACAGTGTGTGGTCATGAAAGTCACGGCGAATGGAATGGGTCCTCCGTGACCTGTTGTGACAAAAGTGGCGGGTAGGAGCGCCTGTGGTTGCAGTTCAGCTAGCTCGGTGGAGCCTTCCGGCCGGGCTGTCGTGCGTGCCTTTCTGTACGGTCACGAGTACGGCTACATTCTCACCGCTGCGGTCAATTTACTAATCAACCCATTCATTAACTCAAAGGCATAGACGCACGAGTACTTTGCACCTGTTACTAATCCAACTGATGCAATTATATTACACAAGCTAGCATTGTCTGTCGTATTTTTCTCAACCCATTCATTTTTTTGTCACTGTAAGTGGAGTTAGCGTTGCTCTTCCTAGAGGTCATGCATGCATGCATACATCCGTTAAGTTGAGCCAGCATGCCACGCGCTGCACAATCGCGTGCAGCGACGCAGCAGAGGCACTGCACCGCACTGTTGTGATGATCGGACGTTTAATTTGTCCTCGCTCGCTCGACTGATCGGCGTCCTGCACATAGTACGTTCTTGACGTGATCCGAGGCATGCCATGTGCGCCTGCATGGAAAAGGAGGCATCGACATGCCATGTCCAGCAAGCTACCGGCGATCAAGCTAGCTCTGCCACAGGCTCCGGCCGACCCTAACATGCATCACCGGCTCAGCCATAACTAGCACGGCAAGAAGAAACGTGCCGATAAAACCAGAGGCGAAACCAGGATTTCTCAAAACCTAGGGCTAAAACTAAGTGGCTATAAAGAGCTCCAAAATCCAAATACATGCATAGTAATACTAATGCATGTTAGAAGTACACCACAAATTCACCAGAATGAAAAATATGAATTCATATTCTGATGAGAGCAAATTTGCTAAAATATGTAAATAATTTAACAAAATGCATCATTGGAAAGTTGGTAAAAAATTAATGAAGATCTGTTTCATTTGAGGTCATTGTTTGTTCACCAGCAATAATAAAAGGACATGGACTTGTAAATATAAATCAAGTAGTAGTACCAAGACATTGGACAGACTAAATCAATTGTTCATCTGAAATTTTGCTAAACATGAACATGTGAACAAATTTGACTAAAGTAATAGAATTTTAACATCACTGGTTCATTGATTTAGGCTGATACAAAAGAACTAGATAAAAAAATGATACAACAAACTTGAGATTACCTATCATGTCCAGCCGTTGTGTAAATGGAGCTGAACATCGGCTTCTTTTCATTATGGCCCTTCAATTCGAAAAAAAGAAGTAAATGGATCTGAACAGAATAGAACGGTTGGAGGGGGCTGCAGCTAGATGATCCGAGATTCTGAGTGCCGTCGGCCGGGCGCAGCCGCGCAGGTCCAGACGTACACTTCGTCGAGTCAAGCAGTCGAAGCCTGAGGGGAATTGGCGGCGCAGCATGGGCGAGGTTTTTTTTTCTTCTGATCGACCTGGCGAAACAATGGAAAGAGATAGAGCGTCGTGCGTGCTGGCGATCAGGCGAGATCTCTTTTTATGGGTAGCGATCAGGCGAGATGGGGGACTCGTTTTGGAGCGATTGTTCGTCGTGGGCTGGTGGCGATGGGGAGCTTTTCTGGGTTGTATATGGGCTGAGGCATGGCACTGGATGTGTGCACGTCTGGGGCTGGGCCTATATGAGTGTACAAACATGCAAAATTCCTGCTGGATAATGTATTTACGAGTTGGGCCACGCCTGGGGCTATAGCCCCCGTTGCCCCAGGCCCAGTTCCGCCCCTGGATAAAACCGAGCCGTACGTACCGGTCGTACCTGCTGCCAAATGAGAAATGAGTGTCTGTGTTTCCCCTCGTTCCGGAAATGCGGGAACACTGTTGATGTGTATGTTTGCCGCTCTACGGCCGGGACGTGTATGTGCGTGCTCCGCCACTCGCCGGCATCACGCACAGGCACAGTGCTCCTCTGATTCGAGCGACGCTGGACCGGAGGATAGGATAGGAGGATATCATCATTCATGCGTGCTGGTCTGGTCTCCACGTGAAAATGTCTCGCGTAGCGTCATAGCGTCCGGTACCGGTATAGTGCGCGGGTGCATAGCCTACGGCCTAGTCTAGCGACACACTTCTCCTAACGTGCTAGTATTTCTAGGGTCTCAGCCAATTGTGTTGTCACTGTGAAAATCCAAGTATTGTCACGTATAACAAAGTAGAAGGCGGAAAGAGAATACTACTGCTACGGGTTGACAAGACAAGAGTTCAGCACTCCAGCAGTCTATTGCAATCACCTGCTCCTCTCTCTCTCTCTCTCTCTCTCAGTCAAATTGTCGTACAGTACTAATCACTTGCTTTGTCTCTCTCTCTGTCTCTCTGTCGTATAGGTTCACGCTCCATGCTCCCAGCTCTCACATGGTCACTGAATGAGTACATGAGGCTACGATTTTTTTTTAGGTTCAGCTGCAAGTAAATTGCATGAAAAATAGAACTTAGGTGAGCCAATTTCGTTGGAAGGAAGATAGAGGTGCTGCGCTGCACCAAGTCCATTGCGGACGATGCCGAGTTGAGGGAAGCAAGGCCAAACGACGCCAACAAGGCTCGGGCGGGAACGAGCTGCAACCGACAGCGGCGAGTTAGAAGGTTGATGTGTGTAGCTGCGCTGCACCAAGGCCATTTACAGTTTCTTATTCACCAAGTTTATCGCGATTTAGTGTGAAACACGGCCAGATTATAAAAGGAGGCAAGTAACCCCGTGTACCCGAAGCAGACTGGCTAAAATCCATTCCGAGAAAAATAATGGCAAGGCCAACGCACAACTTGCAGCTCTTCCGTTATGTATAAGCAGCCACCATGGTCGTCTCAGTACAAACGCCTTCTGTCTTCTCAGCTTAGTGTCGTCCCTCGCAAAGAACCAGCCACCGCCGCTGCTTTCCGGCCTCCGCTTCCAAGTATCGTGGTCTCCGGCGTCGACGGAAGCAGCAGCAACATGAAGCGCCTCCTCAGACGGCTCTCCCGGGTGGCCGCGGCCGACGCATGCGCCGCCGCCGCGTATCAGCCGCTCCGGCCCGACGCGGCCGCGAAGGCCTCCTCCTCGTCGTTCTACGGCGCGCGGAGGCTTGGCCGCGGCGCGCGCGTGCCGGAGGGGCACGTGCCGGTGTGCGTCGGCGAGGAGGGCGGCCCCATCGAGCGCTTCGCCGTGCGGGCCGAGCTCCTGGGCCAGCCGGCGTTCAAGGCCCTGCTCCGGCGCGCCGCGCAGGAGTACGGCTACGGCCACCCGGGCGCGCTCCGCATCCCCTGCGCCGTGGCCAACTTCCGCCGCCTCCTCCTCGGCCTCTCCGACCCCGGCTGCCAGGCCACTGACGACGACGACGCCGCGTTCTACTACTAGCCTCCTGGCCTTTCTTCCCCGTTTCACCCTCCTCGTTCGGCTCACATGGAGGGCTTGATTGGAAACTGGACCCCTGGCAAAGGCAAAGGGTGAGCGGAGCCAATCGCCAGCTGCTGCGTTCTGAACGATATACCCCTGCGTGGATGTTGTACATACGGAAGTCTCACTGGGTTGGTGGAGGGTAGGAGGGGGATTCTGCCGCATTCTTCTTCTTCTTCTTCTTCTTCTTCTTCTTCTTGTAGCTAGCTCTAGATCTAGCTCTGGTATCTGCAATGGAGCTTCTTCTTCCTCTTCTTCTGGTAGGGATTTTGAGGTCATGACAAGTACATCATGTAAGCCGCAAGGTTGGCCTCATGTGAGTGAATGGATGATTATGCTACTGCAAAAGCTTGCTCCAAGATCTGGTGGTGTAAAATGCAATGCACTTCAAGTCTTCAACGATCTCCAGCTAGCTTTAACAGTTCAGGCAGCCTGGCATAGAATACAATGGTGTACTTCTATGATTAACCAGTTACTAAACTACTTGGGGCTGTGGATGCATTTCTTTTCTTGAACGTCTAGGCTTGTGATGCATATACTTCAGAGGCACTGCCTTCACAACTGCTTGCCAGAAAATCTGGGATTTATGGCCAGGTTCAGAATAGCAAACTGCATATAGAGCCATACAGATACAGTGCGTGTGTATAGGATTTTGCAGAACTTCTTTTCAAAGCGGAGTAAAAAGAAATGTAAGACCATCTACAACCGGACTTGGCATATCTACGCCTCAAACGCCCACGGACGCGTCCGATGACTGGTCACGTCTCAAATAATACATTCCACATCCACATATGTCATATCCAGCATCCTATATTCATACTACCTATGCAACATGATGAACTACTCTACGCGAACGGAGAAAGAAATCGGCATCAAACGGACAACGAAATGCACATAAAACCCACTGCATCATCCAAAAGATCACCGGGAAGTTTTTAACTTTGAACAATTAAAACCGATAATAAAAACAGAAAAGGAGCAAGATCATCACTTCCTCGACGGGCCTTTGCATGCCCTTCCGGTTGCCGACGCGGCTGTAGGCGTCCGCGGCTGGTGGTCGTTGCCGTCATCGGACGAGGAGTCGAAGAGGACAATGTGCCCCTTCATCCGGCGGACGGCCCTATCCTACTGCCGCTTCAGCTTGGCCTCTCGAGCCGCCTCTGCCGCTGCCTCCACCGGCAGCTCGCGGCGCCGCAAGGATTGTTCCATCGCATCCCTCTCCCTTGCCCGCTACCTCTCGTGGGTGTCGGCGCGCGTGTGTGGACCAGAGGAGCAGGCACTAGCACCACAACTGCCCGCACGAAGCAGCGGCCGGTGGGGGAAAGGGACGGCGTAGGGACGGAGCAGACTGAACTGGGGCCGAGAGGGGCCAACTCCGATGCCCGCGCGGGTGCGGTGACAGTGCAGATCTGGAGCTGCCTCCGGTGTCCACCTTCGACTCTCCAACGCAATGCGGAGGGCCAGCTCCTCCTCGACGTCGATGTCCGAACCCGAGTGGCTGCCGAAGCTCGACATGTCGCCTGATTCGATTGGAATCGGAAAGGGGACAGAGCGAGAGAGGAGAGTGGAGAGAGTTAGAGTTCGGAGTGCAGACGGATTGGTATTTTTTGGATACGGCGTGGGGTCGGTGGTTTGCCCGGCTGACGCGGCGGACACGCCCGTGCGTGACCAGACCGCCCCATATCCGCCTTACATTTGGGCTGGATATAAGGGGCGACAAACAACCCAAGTGTTTGACGCCAGTTTGAGGTGTCCAGGTAAAATCATATGAAAAATCTCACAATGGGTTGAGCTAATTAACTAAAAATCATATGAAAACGTGTCCATTAATTAAGAAAAATAGAATTGTCCAGCTAATGAACTAAAATCATATGAAAACTCTCACAATCCCTTGAGCGGAGCAGAAAGGATATTCCAAATACATTGTGAAGAGACTCTCGTCCAGATAGCACACGCACTATCATCATCACTTCCCTCTTCTAACTGGGCGTCACCTTCATCACTTTACCTCGAGCAAATGACTATGAGTTCACAGCAAATTTTCCGAAACATTGAAGAAAGTGTATTGGTTGAACCGATAACTGCCTCGAGTTTTAGTTGTGCATGTTCCAGCCAAAGCACGGAAAGGGGTGAGATGACAATGTACACCGGGCAAAATAATGGTTACTGCAAAAACATCTACAACCGGACTTGACAAATCCGATTCTCAAATACCCGCGGACGTGCCCGACGCGTCCGCGGACACTGATCGGTCATGCCTAAGATAATACATTCTACATCCACATACCTCAAATTAGAAACTTTATATCCATATTAAGAGGAGCTCGTCCAGCTCCACAGTGCCTATGTCCGGCAGCCGGTTGCGCTCACCAGTTTGTTGGTCCGGTCGCCGGCAAGGTAGAGTAGGGCATGAGACATGAACCGGCTCACGGGACTCAAGTCGCCGCCGTCTCCTATGCTCTACTCTTCCTCGTCGGAGCTCAGGACCAGGACTATGCCGATGGACGTCAGATCGATGATGGATTGATGGATCCGTCCTGGGATGAGCCGGCAACATCAACCATGACGCGGTTGTGACGCCCGCACGGGTGCACCATACGGGGCGCCGGAGAATGCGACTCCGCCTCACCGACGTCCACCACCGCGAGGGTTGCCACCTCCTCCCGCAGCCGCTACCTCTCACGGCGGGCACGCCGTGTCATTTTGCGTCGGAAGATGCCCATGGTGCGTCCTTCTGCTCCGCGCACCAACATAGGGGTCGCGCGTCCGCCACCACGTTCGGACGCTAGACGAACTGCACCGCCTCCCGTGAGGCAGCAACTGCACACCTAGCGCAGGATTCATGCGCCATTTGGGCAGACGCAATGGATCCCTGGCGTAAGGAGTCCGCGTGCTACCTCACACGGCCAACTCCCGGGAGCGGCGGAGCGCAAGCCGTATGGCCATCTCCTTCTTGGGCCGCGTGGGATGAGCTCGGGGTCGACGGATTTAGAGGTGAAGGGCTCTGATCCATTGTCCACCAAGCCGAAGAAGGCCGGAGATTGCCGGACGGAAGCTTTTGGGTGGCGGAGGGCAGTGGAGTGAAGTGGATAGGGTTTCATCCGGCGAGTGAATGAGAAGGAATATATGTGAGGTCGGATGAGCCATCGTGGCCTAAGTCCGATGTGACGGACGTGCCTGGGTTGGATATGAAGCCCGTTTGAGACGTCCGTCTAAATCGAATTTTCATTATAAAGGTTTGGAATGCCCGGCTGTAGATGATCTTACGCGGTTCTTTTGGAACCAAATGGGTATCATTTTTTTAGGGTAGTCATCACATTCTCCAAGATAAAAATGATTACGTACCCTGATTCACCATGTCCGTCCAGTGTTGTACATATCAGGATCAACCAGTCGGATCGGATAGACGAGAGGCCATGTGGAGCGCAGCCAAACACAACAGTACGTGCGTACATAGGCGCCGAGTCGTGCTTGGTTTAGTTAGTTTCTTACTCCCTCTGTTTCACAATGTACGAAGCTTTTGCAAGCTAAACAAGCTTGCAAACACAACAGTACGTGAGTATCTGTTTAGTTTAGTTGGTTCGATTCACTCGCTTTCAGTTGGGCTTCAGCCTTCAGGAGAAGATTTGCTCTGCATGTGAGTAGGCAACGACATGGGGGCGGCGTACGTACTGTACGGGCCCCTAATGATTGGGATTAACGACCCAATGATGAGGTTACTCGCTTGGTTGATTCATTCGCCATGGCAATCTTAGCTGCGTCCTAGGTGTACAGGTGTGCTCGGCGTTCCCATGGACCCAGAGGCCAGAAGAAGATTCTGTCTTGTCTCTGCGCTATGTTTGGACACGTACTTAACCAGTGGCGAAGCCAGAATTCGAGTATAAAAGAGTCGAGTACGTATATTGATCTAATCTCGTTGGTAATTACTCCTCGCT